CTAACTACGTAAGTGTACCCTCGAAATCAACGAAAATTCTCCAAAATTTTCATATCATCACCGAACTTCCCCTCACACTGCACTAGCCTCTACCAAACCCACCTAGACGCCCTCTGGCCTTGTCCATGAGTTGCCGACAATACACGTTGGGCAACAACAGCAGGCGCTGCTGTCGAGGACCCCAGATGCTGTTGATGTTGTTGTTGTTGCATTTGGTGTTGCAATCGTGAATAGTGTGCAGGTGGGGAAACTCCCAAGGGTAGAGGATGACCAGAGTTCATCAAATACCTAAAATACTACTATTCCAAACAGTTATGCATATGTAGATTTCCGAGATGCTTTCATACGACTATAGACTACGTAACGCCTCTAAAACGTTGGTGTCTTCAATCGATTCACATTTTTATCATGTTGGTATTACTCAAAGTTGACTTTCGAGGGCTAAGTTGAAAATACTACTTTGCATAACGGTTTGGTTCAGCACACTGTAGTGAAAAACATATTTCACATTCAAGTCGGCGAAAAACGCATATGAGCTGCGAATAACGCGTGAAGCACGTGATATGGGGTCATTGGTTTCCGTGCTATTCATAACCGTTTGGTTCATCACGCTGTATTTCCAAAACTGTTATTACTCATTCCACAACCATAATTTTCACACACTATACGAGCCCCCAGATTTCCCTACTTTCCATGAATGAAACCTTGAAAGTAACTATCAGGCACCTTATGGAGTGCCGGTCGATAACTAACAGGCATCGTATCGTCCGGTAGGGGAATACCTAGACACCAGCAGCCTTTCATGCGGACGACCCAGGTTCGATTCCCGCTACCAGCTTTGTTATTTTTCCCCGTGCCTTGCTCTTCCACTGTAACTGACCATCATCAGCAAATCATATTAGTTCACTTACAACCATAACACTACCACACCTTGCCGGTTTCCCTGCATCATCATACTCACAGCTGGAGCGCTTCCAACGTGTACTGGCTGATTATTGAGGAACCCCCGTAGATTCGAAGAGCCAGCTCCAGCTTGGCTTGGTGAGGACGCGTTAGAATATATAGATTCACTTCCCTTCAGCCTGCTACCACCCCCAGCACTTCCCCCCGAGGGAGAATACGCCCCCCGTCCCTGCCGATAGGGCGTCGATGGTGCCGACTCAGTCAGGTCAGCTACAGGGCGACTCTATACGAGGAAAAAAATCCCCATAATTCATCTCAGTGGTTTACACTAGAGTTATGCAAGAAGCTTGTCGTATCATCGATCAAGTTCATCAGGCACAGCTCTGCACTTCTCGGCAACCAATTCGAAGGTAACCCTGCTCCCGGTCTCCCATCGTCAACGAACAATGGATGTGTTAACGCCTGCACAAAAAATCACTTTCTAAATTTTCCCAAAAAATTTTTCACCTGTGCGGGAGTAATTCTCGTCGTGGGATCGAAATCAAGGCAGAGGTTCACGAGATGCAATATTCTTTCTCTTCTTAGCGTTTCTGTGAAAAATCAAAAAATTTTCCACTTTCCTAATTTTCACCTTCACTAAGCTGCTCTGGAGGTAGTCCCGCTTTAATCGGAGCTTGCATGATCATGTCACGTAGTGTGCTGTATCGCGAGTACTTCCTCGAGGGGTTTTCACTGCGCCACAAAATTATAATCACCAAAATTTCCATCCCCACCGTTTTCCTGTAGTTTCCTCATATTCTCTTCTATTTTTCAGTTTAAACCCCAGCCCAGTTCGTACCAAAATCTGAGAAAAAAATTCCCCAGGGAAAAAATTCTGAATTTTCAACGAAAAAATCATAATTTTTCCACCAGAAAACCAATTCCCGATGAAAAAAGTTTCAGAATTTCAAACGAAACTCATATTTTTCTCAAAATTTTTCTCCCAAAAACCGATTTCCGATAAGAAAAAGTTTACAAAAAAATATAATTTTTCCCCAATAAAATGAAAATCTGCATTCACCTGATTTTCCTCGCTAATTTCCGTCGAATTTTCCTGACCAAATCTGAGCGAAAACACACCAACATCAGCCGCTGGGTCCACTGGAGCCTTAGCCATCCCAGCATTAGAGTTTCCATTGCCATCTCCTGAAAACGCAGATAGGACTCCGTATAGGAGAAAAATATTCCACCTAATATCCGTAGCCGTCGTGATAGGACAACATGTGAGGACGTGATCTCATCCGTGAGAGCTCTCT